GAGCTGACGACATTATACTCGAGACCTGCCGCTCCAACTCTTCGAGATCAGTCAGACCTTCCATAATATGTTAAATATTTTAATATTTCTAAATAAGTCGATTTAGTATCTGTGAACATTCATATGCTGTCTTAAAAATTCCCTACAACTGAAAAGTTTGCAACAAATATGACACTGAATTTGGAAATCAACATGCTTCACTTCAACATGTCGTGAAGTATTATGCTTTTTTTCATGACTAAACGGACACACCAAACACATCCAAATTTTACGCCCCCCAGGATCCAACCCTTGCCTCATCTTCAGATCCACTTCAGTATCAACAAAAGAATAGTCTAGGATAACATTAAATCAAAACTTTATAAGAACGGAAGAGACTGATGAATCTTTTTACAATGAACTCTGAGATCAGTTTTAGACTTAAATGTGATAGGGCAGATGGGACAAAAATAATTTAGATCTAAATGAACACGCTCTACATGCTTAAATACGTCACTGCTCTTTTTAGATGTATATTCGCATTCGATGCAAGTCCAGAAGCTCAAATTATTATGATCTTTAAAGCGCTTCATTTTGGAATGAACCATTTCTGAAAAAAAATAAATGATGTAAGTACATGGAACTGATTATCTGTATTTCAATGCTTTTTCATATGTATTGTTAAGTTAGCCCTAGATCGAAATAATGCTCCACAAATAGGGCAGGAATAAGACAGATTAAGATGCACCCTTTCAATGTGCTTAAAAACATTCGACTTGTCTTTAGCAATATATTGACAATCGGTGCACTGCCATCGAGTGAGACCAGTTTCATCTTTGAACTTCATCATCTTATCAGCAGCAAGTTCATATCCTATCACAGATTACAAACTTAAACGTTAGTTACGCTATGCATTTTTTTCATGTGCTTTTTCATATAACTTGAAGTAGTGAAGTCAGCTATACACAAAGGACATTGAATTCTAGTCTGAAGATGCTTGGCCTCAATATGATCTTCTATATTTGTGGTCTTCTTGGTTTGGAATTCACAGGCTGCGCAACACCAAATTTGCTCCCCATTTTCCAGACAAGTTTTGAACATCATGTTTCTTAGATGACCTACAAAATACTTATGATAGGATATGCTTTTTCACATGTGCCCTATGCTTGTCTCTGCGGGAAAAAGTTGCACTGCAAATATGACATTGGATGAAAAGTCCAAGATGTTTTTGCTCAATATGACGTTGGACACCCCACTTTCCAGTACGGGAAAAACTGCACTCCGTGCAGGACCAGATTTTTTGCCCGCTCTCATTCCTCTCTTCAACTAGTTTTTCAGTGACCCTTAGGTCCACAAGATCTAGGACAGAAAAAAATAATGTTGTACTTTTCAAAATTTGCTTTTGGGACAAATAACTGGGAGATTATGGACAGGACAAGAAATTTTTTCAACAAACCATTCAAGAGATTTACTGACGGACAGGAAGATGTTAACTACAAAAAAGATTCTTTTAAAACTCCATGCTTTGATCTGACATGTGTCCTCAGCTCAATTCTACTTGACAGTATGCTTGGACACATTTGGCAGGGAAGACTAATATCTAAATGTCTTCTTTCGATATGCTTTTGAACATCTTTTCTCAGTTTTTGCTTATAATCACAATCATAACAGTTCCAGAGTCGTTGTCCAGACTCGTAGCTAACAAACAGTTTTGAATTCACCAGTACATCAATGTCTAAAATTATAATCTATAAAATCGAGGAACATGAGTTAGAAATGCACTTTTACTTAGTAGTATCTTATCACAATAGGAGCAGGGGTAACCAGAGGAAATGAAATGCTTTGCTTCAAATGACGAAATATGTTGATCTAATTCTGAGATTTGAGAACAGAACTTGCATTCCCAGAGAACTAACCCAGTTTCAGAGTCCCAAGTCTGCTCTCCCGTAGCAGATCTCAAATCACATATGTTTCCTTTTCATGTGTTTTTTCAGAGAATAGGAATTTTTAAACAAATTTTCGCAGATACTGCAAGACACAGTATTGCCTAGTGTATGGACAGTGTTAATGTGACGGATCACATCACCTTTATTATGTATGCTCGAGTATTCACAATACGGACAGTAATTAACAAGCCTTCCACTTTCAAACCTACTTGTCACATCATCTAAAAGACCTTGATATTAGTCAGGAACAATTTATTGATATTAAAACTTTGTCTTGTGAAATCTAGACTTATGAATATTTAACGCTTTCAGGGTTGAACAAAATTTTCCACATTCCTGACAATAGTAACCACTGGACTTCATATGTTTGGCCTCGACATGAAAAAACATGTTTTGTTTGGACATCAAGCAGTCACATTGAAGGCATCGCCAGTTCCCACTGCTCATGAACTCCATCTGAGCGAATATTTCAGCCTCTACAAGAACAAAAAGTCAACTCAAGGTACAAAAAAGGACAGAAGAACCAAAAGCAACCTGAATTCAAAGCTAATTTGAGTAGACCCGTACTCTTTTCATCAGGAACCAAAGTAAGTAAAAGTCCTATGACGCTTAATTTGCCGTGTGAGCAATAAATTTAAGGATACAGACAGCTAAAAAGTATTTTTAGTGTAATCTGCTATATTAAGTAACCGATTATATCGTTATTCTATCAAAGTTTGCAATATTTCTCGAGTCATTATTTGTAAAAACTAGCGAGAAAATCAAAAGTTTCTTAAAAGAGACATCACATACAGCCTAAAGCCCTAATGACGAACTTCTGCAAGTTATTCGCATGCGCTTTAATTATGTCAAAGAATGCTTGTTGTAAGAATTGTTCTAATTTATTCAGACTGATCAGAAACTAGTTCGTATATAAAAATTAATCCTTTCATAAATATACACATCTACAACTGATCAGTCTGGTGGATTTATAATTGTGAGACATATCAATGTCTTGCAGATTTATATAAGATCCAATGTGAACCTTTTTGAATAAGTTCTTATTTTACATGGACCAACCCAAAAATTGAGGCAATAGAATTCATAACCACCCCCATACTTACTCCCTTCTCATTCGCTGCCGATGTTCCATCAAAACAATCTGCTTTCTTGGTGTTCAGAAATCCTCTTCAGCGGTGTTGTGACGCTCTGTGTGTGCAGTTCAGACAAAAAAAAATAATGCGCCAAAAATGGCACTGGGTTCCAAAAATATTACTAGACATGATGGGATCCAAAAACTTCGTCAGATATATCTAAATCGCAAGATTTCATTTCCCTTATTGAATTGATCTCAACCCATAGTTTACACAAAATATTAAGAAACAGGTTTCTTAATCACCGTAGGCTAGATTCAAAACACAAGTTTTGATTTAGTCTATGGGTTTATTTGCTGTAAAAATCAGGAATGAAAATATTTCAAAAAACCCCAAACGAAACATTGCGATTTAATTTGATATGTCTGGTGGGACGAGTGAACTGACATCTGGAAAATGGGTTCCTAGCCAAATTTTTTCCAAAACATTGCTGGCCAAATTTTTATTCTCAAGATAAAGTTTCATGTGAAACTTGCCAAAACTTTGAAAAGCAGATTGCCTTGGGTCCATAAACTGAAAATTCATCTAGCGTCAAGCTGTTAATTTGTACAATTAAAGTTTAACAAGAAGGATATTTAAAGGGACTGTATTTAGTGTAAAATCTAAAACAACTAGATGAATTTTCCATAATAAGCAATATCACCGGGCCACTGCCTTTAAATTTTATCATGTGGTTCCGTTTAAAAACTGTAAAATTTTCCAAAAATAACGAAACCAAATGTTGCCCATTAAATAGTGATATTGCCTTTCCTCTTAAATGTTACCTTTCTCCAATTTTACATTTGAAAATTGGAATGCTGCAATTTTAACGAAAGGTAGCCAATTAAGTGGGTACTATATTCTTCTTAATAATTAATAGAGTCTCTCCCAACCATTGGCTGATATTTAACCCAGGCATGAAGTTATAATGTCCGGTTATAAAAATAAAGATAATCTCAAATTAGGGTTTTAAATGTAACAAAAATGTTATCAGGAAAACATTTACTGTAAGATGACTTTAAATTATTCTAATTGGGAATATGAAAAGGACAAAATACACTCATGCCAAATTTTAACCCAATTACAAATCCCAAGACACGATTAATTACAAGAAGAAATTTACTTTATTCAGCACCAAGACTGGAAGGAGATGGAAAAGAAAGAAAAAGACCCATGTCCGAATTTAATGAATTTGAGCCGTGTCAGAAATCCGCCAAAAACCGGTTTCAATTGAGCGCCGGCTTAAATCTTGAGATAATGAATACGACTTTAAATGGAACCAACCCTATTTTAGGCGCGACTAAAATTTAAGCCGCAGCTCAAATTCTTTAAATTCGGCCTCTGATCACTTGTTATTATATCCTTATTTTCCTTCCAGTCTTAAATAAATCAGAAGATAATTTTAAAAACATGACATATTAAGTTAATTTTGCTTCAAGTAAACTGCTTTGCTCTTTCTAGATAAAATGTAAGGCCAATTAGATTGGATTTAATCTTGCTTCAAGTAAACTGCATTGATCATTAAAGATAAAATGTAAGGCCAATTGGATTGGAATTTTCAAAAAATTTATATTTTACAATTTTCTCTGGTGCTGTGCAAATAGGAACATGAGTGAATTGACAAGGCATAAATTGATATACTAAATAATAAAACAAATTAAAAACAAATTTTGAAATCAAGTCGGATAAAAACTAAAATCGTTCAATTTAAATTCTTTAATTCGATAGACGTGTGGCCAAAATTACTGAGTGTTTAAGTTAGTTTAATATCAAATATATTATTAACTATGACTTGGTATTTACTTGACAAATCAAGAAAGTGTTAGTGGTATTATGGTGGTAACGATTCAGTCATGTTCCTTGGCATAATAATCCGCCAATATTTTTAAGAAACCCTTTAGCCTATTAAAAAAAAGAAAAAAATAAAGGCGGATGAGACTAGAAATTATCAGAAAATCCCTACCTTTGTTTCCATCAGCTCCTGCAGCAATCGGCATTCCAGTGTTCGGGTCGATCATTCCGCTTCCATCATCATAGCCTTCTTCATAGTTTCCGTAATCGTAGCTGTCATCCTGATAGGAGTCCTCTAGAGCAACCTGACCTTGACCAGGTTCTACTAAACTTGAGTCCTGGTAGTCGTTGTTCGATGATGTGGTCATGGCTGTGGAAGGTGTGGTCACGTCTCTAGGTTCAGATTTAACTGGAACAACTTCCTGAATGTCGTCATCTTCATATGAGGAAGGTCGGTTGTTTGTCGGAGCAGGTGTGGAAGGTGCTGAAGGTACTGGTCGGGCGCGCTTGGGCGGTGGTCCTGGTTCTCGTTCAGGAGGCTCTCGATTCCTGTTGGAGTTGGACTTGGATTCTGCCTTCGTCTTATCACCAGATTCAGCATTGTTTTGAGTGAGACCTTTCACACGGAGATCCTCCGCTACGGCTAGGAACGAGTTAAGCTCTTCTTGGGCAACATTCACCTCACCCATGTACATAAAGTTTAAAACTGAAAGCATCTCCTTGTATTTAACACCCTTGAGATAAAGTAGTGGATGCTGATGAGGGTTCTTGCGGAGAACATTTCTGAAGAACGGACTGCAAGCTGAGAGAATTACCTTGTGGGCCTGAATCTGAGATGAATCATCACATGCTAGAGTTACGTCAAAAAAGTCTTTCTCTTCACGTAATTCCCGGAACGCAACGCTAATGTTCGTTTCGAAATCGTTCCAGCGTAAACAGAACTTTTCTGATGTACCCATCTTGAACAGGGTTTCTTGCTGAAAAAAATGAACTCTTCGTGAGGGTCAGACCTGAAAAATAAGATATATTAAAATAAAACTAATCTTGTAATAAGAAAACGTTTTGTACAGTAATTGAGTCCATTCGGTTCAGCCGTTTGGCCGGACAGAGGGAACATATATACGATTGTCTTCTTATATTTTATAGATAACTTAATAATATTAAACATATACAGGGTTGACGACAAAGAGACTTTTTATGCCGTATATTTCCTTATACCTAGGAATCTTCGCAACGGTAACTTTATTGCTTATGTTGCCATGTCAATGAATAGGCAATTGAAAGACAATATACGAAGGAGAAGACTTAATTTAACCTTTTAAAAAATACGTAATGAATTACAGGTAGTCTTTACTGTCTCATCTTTTAGGGGTAACCCTGTATATTTTATTAATTTAGTTCAAGGGTTAGTTTATGAATATTTCTGGGCCAAGCGCTGCGGCTAGGATATGCTGGGGAAGCGAGTGTTAAACAAACGAGATTAGTCATTCACGAACAAAATTTTATGAATGGGGGGAGAGTTTAGTCTGTCCTCAAACGATTTTTGGACCCCCCCCCCTCCTACNACGGGGTCCAAAAATCGTATACTAGGAAATTACCCAATTATTAACGTTATTAAAAAACAAGTAATTTCCAATAGACCCAAAACTCTCTAAACAGCCTTAATCAGGAATTATTAATTCTAAAAGATAAAATATTCGTAATAACTTCCCAAGGGACTTCAGACTTGACGAAAACCAATATCAAGCCAAACTACAGTTTCTGCTAAACAAACTTAACTTAATACTAAAATTCGGCTGAAATAACATTGAAAAATACATTTAAAATAATATTAAAATAATAGTATATCCTTACCTCACATTCTGAATCAATAAGCAGTTGGCTGGCACCAAAAATTCCTGGTTTATTCGCAGATTTAGTCGGGACCAAATTCTTTGTCTTGTTGTTAATATGGCTGCCGGCGAGAAAAGCAAGCTTGGATTGCCGGCTAGACCAAACCCCACCGTTGCGAGGTTTTGTGATTTCAGTTAATATAGCATTTTCCGACAGCTTTCGTTTCAACCGGGAAATTTAATTCAAGAATCAGGGCTCGCGAGTTTTACTTAATTAGTCTTTTTGAATTTTAATGTTTTAAACTTTAAATCTTTCATCTTTCTTTCTATTGTTTTATATCCTCGGAAATATGTTGTTTAAAAAATATATTTTATTCAAATTTGTGTAAACCCTTTCCTACGATTTTATCAACCGGTCCCGCCATCTCCGCCTCCGCCAACACAGATGCGGCAGGCGCGGGATAAGCCAAGCCAGGAATTATGGCGTCACGGCGTGTATTCTGGGGGTTCGTTCGTGGGGCCATGGGGTATAAAGGGAAAAAGAGCGGGATCACCATTGTTGTAAAAATGTTTTCTGAATTTTAAGTCCTGTAGGAAAAATTTTTTAAAATTAAAAAAAATCTGCAAACAAGGGCGGCTTACGATATTTTCTGCAGTGGTGGTGGTGGGGGGGGGGGACAATAAATGAAATTGCGCTCCTAATTTTTCCAAGAACGTCATATAATTGTTTTACATTATTTTCTAGGACTTTTTTCTGATTCTAGTCATACAGATTTTATACTATAAAACGTCCTCTCAGTTATACCATTGCAAATATGCATCAGCCTCATGTGTTATTTCACCATTTCAGTAAACGATTTTAAATTTATAAATTGTATGTATACATACATACATACACAGCAGTATTAAAACATTTTATCGGATAAACATGAATGAAAACAAGAAATATAGAAATATCAAATCTTGAAGTCCTTGAAGAGTGTCTCTGTCTAGGTATATTTCAAATTTAATAAGAATCTTGTTAAAATTAAACGAAAAGCATGCCAGTGCAGAGTTTTTTGTCTAACGTAAATGATATACATTTAAACCTATAGTTAATTCCCTATAAAAGTCAACCTACTCAACTTTGAAGTTTGAACATATAAACCAAATTGAGCTAACAATCCCGTGTGTTTCCCAACCCAATTATCCCCCATTCAAAACTTGATGAAAATCGGTCCAGGGCCGTTCCTGAGTCATGAACGGACAAACAAACAGACAAGCTGCAAACAGAGATTACAACTGTATCTATATAGGTATATAAAAGTTAGATTTGCTTTGCGCTTGATAACCGTTTCATACTATTAAAATTTTAGACAAATCTGACATAGGGGTTCCTGTAGAATTATGATCGCAGATCGGACATTACAAAAAACAGACAAAAACAAGGATTACTACTTTATAGATATTAGATAAAAGTTATTTATGCTTCATGCATGATACCTGAGACTGAGTTTAAAGTCCTATGTTTTATTGGAGATCAGCACTCCTCTTTGCACCATCGACACCACCGTGCAAACTTCTGGCTACGGGCTTTGTTTTCATTGAAATTAAAGTAAAGCACAAAAAAGAAGTAATTTTAAGATGGGAAATGACTGAAGAAGTGGTTGACTTAATCTGTTTATTAGTATAAATTTAAAACATCCTGATATTTTTTTCTTATAGAAGATTGTTGAAGTTGAAGACGACATTTCTAATTTCTTAATATTCTTCTGAATAAAAATTGCAACAAGGATTAATGCAAGGAAAGTTATTTAAGAGGTGTACGCATCTTTTTTACTGCAGTGTACTGTCTCTGGGCNGAAAAGAAAGAAAGAATGGCGAAAATCAGTATCACAGGAATAAGAAAACCAATAGAGTTATTGTAGAAATTATATTATATTAAAGTTAGTTTTAAAAAAAATATTTTTATCTTTCTCAATTCTCAAGGCTAAAGGCTATTATAAACATTTAATGTAAAAAAGTTCTGAAGTGTATTTTATTTGTGTTGACTTAAAAAATATGCATCCACGAGCCCTAGAATATTCCATTGTTGAAGGCCAGATATTGTTGATTTGTTCTTTTTTAATCATAAGATATTTTTTACATTTTACATTTTAATTCTCCTTAAAGGAATAGAAATTTTGCCAGAACTCTGATATTTTAATCCCTTTAATTTTATCTTTGCAATCCAATGTCGTAGATATCAAACTTTGAATTCTTTTGGTAAAATATTCCAAGTTTGAAATATCAAATGTTTACACCACTCGGTGCAAAGATTTAGGGATTAGAATATTAGAGTTTGTGGCAAAAAATCAGTTCCAAATCTAGAGAAAATTCTGAACCTGGCAAATTTCTAACTTATTATCATTTGATAACTAACAAGATTTATCTTCTTTGACAGAAGTTCTATAAAATCGAAAATGAATTTAGATTATGAATGAATTGGTTAGATCAATCATCTTTTTCCAGAAACTATAAATGATTATTTCTTGCAATTTAATCTGTAATTAAACCAGGTACTTAAAAAATACTGTTTTGCGATTCGCACACATATTCAATGAATTGACTCATATCATTCATTTTACAGCTTTTGGAATATAAATTTTGTGAAAACACAAGAACAAAAAATCGATTTGAATTGAACACAGCCAAATCTGCATGCAACAACTTAAAATTTCTCTTTTTTTCGACTTCAAACCCTTAAAAAAAGCACTTTTGTTTTTGAAAAATTTTCGAAAAGGGGGGGAACCCCCCCCCCCTCAGACCCTTACAAATTAATAAATTGCCCCCCCTAGCAAAAGTCCTAGTTGCGCCTCTGGACATAAGACCCATCTTTCACATTAAAAAATCAATGAAATATTCTGGTCATAGGAAACTATTATGTGAATTATCAAAATTATCAAAATTTAATGCTTTTATCCTCCTCGGATACTAAACGAACACTGATGCATCTATTCTTGTTTACAAATTCCGCCCAGAGAGAACTTATTTCAATATGTACGCAGAGTATACGCAACTGCAATTAACTTTCCTTGCATTACATTCTTGAATTGCAATATCTAAGACATTTCTATGCGGTTGATTATAAATTGAATGATGTTTTATATGATTTATGCATTCTCTGTAGCCCATGTATTCTCTGTATATTTCATCTAATCTCTATACGTATTTCTTGTATTTCCTGTATTCCTTGTAGGGTTTCCACGAAATGGTCATATTTTTTGCCCAAAATTTGCGTAATTTAATCGCGCAAATATTTTTTGCGAACTTTTTAGCATTTTTGCGCAATTTTATGTTTTTGCATAATTTGCGCTAAACTGGAAGTATTGAGCAAAAAGTAAATTTTTACGCAAAACATGTTGTTGCAAACTGACCAAAATTGACAGTTTCAGCACAGAATCAAACAACTGAAGGTTTGTTAAAAAATTTACCTACAAATAAGTAATGATCCTTCTGCTCTCAATTGGTTACTTTTAGTTACAAAATCTTCAAATTAAGAGACAAAAATTAATAAAAAAGAAATTAGAAATTTGAAAATTGAAAATTGATGCATAGTTTTTATAGATGTCTGAATATTTGTGTGGTGTTAAACTTTGATATATTTCAACTGTTGACTACTTCTAGTAGAATGCATATGGTTAAAATATTAAAGGTCTTTGACCACCGAGATAATGACAACACTGAAACTTAGTCATCGAATTTGTATACAGCCTCAACGTTGAAGTGTTCAACTCACTGATACTTTTGCTTGTAGGCCTAATGACATATGCATTTTATGCTACACGTCTCTTTCTATCTTAAGTAATTATAATGAGTAAAAGGCAAAATACTGCTCAACTTTTGTGTGAGATCGTACAAATCTTCATTTGCTGTGTGCCATTATGCATCAGGTTAAAAATAGAGTTTTAGGCAAGTAATCATTTCCTTTTTAAGCATTACAATTATATGGAAAAAGTGCAATCTAATAAATGACTACTTATACAGTTTACACCTTTACTGAGAATTTGTTCCGAAAAATAGCACAATTTTGCGCGAAATGAAGGTTGCGAATGATTGCGCAAAGTGCTATTTTTTCGCGCAAAAGTTTGCGAATGGAAACCCTAATTCCTTTTATTTTTTATTTCATGCATTCTCTGTATTTTTTGTGTTCCTGTAATTTTTATTCCCTGTATTCTCATCAGATTCAGAGGAGCCGTTTTCAGATAGTTTTGGGGCTCAACCCCCTGGAACAATGAATTTTCTACGATAGGTTGTATACATTCCTGCATATACGTTCTCATGCATTCCCCCTGTTTATCATTCTCTCTAATTAATTGCACAACATGAAGGAAGGAAATTAAATGAAAGATGAAAAGAGTTGAAGGAAGCTCAAAGTAGAGACTCGAGAAAAGATAAAATTTTACAAAATTTAGAATTTGATGCATCTTGAGTCACTCTTGACAAATACAACAGGGGCGTACGAGGGCATTTGTTAAGGGGGGGGGCACAATTTGGGCCCCCCCCCTTGGCGACATTGTGCCCCCCTTTACAAACCCTTTTTTTGAGAAAATATTGATACTGATATTAAATTTTTTTGCCCCCCCCCTCCCACCTGGACTTTTTTTGTTCACCATAAAAATACACCAAAAAGACTACATTTTTGGGTGTTACTCTAAAAATTATTCCTTTGCTTGAAAAACTAACTTTTTGACTTTATAAATTTATCACTTAACTCCATCACAGCTAACTAAATCAATAATCACAGCATCATAAAAAATTATATTTTCACTAATAAACGAAATTTATTCTGAAATTTTAAGATAGAATTTACTCAATCTACATATTCAACAACTCTTTTAAGCTTCAATTTTCTGGAATTTGCTTGCACAAACATTTAAATGATTTTTTCAGTAGAGAGCTCAGACAGCCTTGTAGGGTGTAAGGCTGTATAAGTGCAAGATCGTTAAGTCTGCTCTCCGTCATAGTACATCTTGTGTAATGAAGTATTCTCTTTAGAAGGCTAAAACTTTTCTCTCCTTGTCCTTGTATTAACAGTGAATTTAGACAAATCCTTAGTCTTTTTCATTGTCAGTTGTTACTAAACGTTATAGTTTCCTTTTATTTTTGTATTTTCCAGGGGGACTATGCCCAGCCTGGCTCACAGGGGAGCCTGAGGAAGGGAAATGCAAGCAGATGTAATATTAAAAGAGCCTCCCCATGGGTGCCCCCCCCCCCTCGTACGCCACTGAAATACAATTAGTTAATTTAGTGTAAAATGAACCTTAATATAGCAATCTTTGACAGGTCTACATAAACAGTTTTCTTGAAGAAAACTTGGCATTTTATTTCTCAAAAGACGATGACATCGAGCAAAAGTACATGATGTCTCAAGAAACGGGGAATAAGGGTGTCAGACTAGTTTGTAATCGGATTTTCAAGATTGAGACCATTTTTAAAACCTACATACAATAGAAATAAAAATAACAAATTTCCAACTGGAGTGAGCAAAAAGTAAAAGATCGTCTCCGTTTGCACAATTTTGTATTTAATGTTAGGTTACAGTTTGTAACAGTTTAGTTTACAGTTTATTACAATCTTATTCAAAATGTCCACCATGAGCAGCAAGATACTTTTGGGCCCTTGATCTAACTTCAAAAATAACCTTTAGGAAGACCAGTAGGGTCAAGGGCGTATACATAAGGGGGCAAGGAGGGCAGTGCCCCCCAGACCTGTAAAGGGAGCCCCCCCCCCTAGAACTCAGAGCTTTCACACTTTTTAAATCTAAAACTGAAGAGTGCACTAAGAAGATAGTATACGTGAACCAGAGCCACCATGACAGAAGTCCGAATGAAAAATCTATTTAGAATGCACATTCCTAATCGGATGGGCACTATCAGGGATAGCGAAGTAAAAAAATTATTTTTAAATGCCAAGCCACAAAAGCTTGAGTTTGGATGTAGTAAAAGACCATTTTTGATTATTTATTTGGATTTAATTTACTTTGGTCATTGCACCGCCGTTTTGTAATCTTTCTTTTTATTACAAACTAGCTGAAGTGCCCGGCGTTGCCCGTGGAATTTAAAAAATCGAATTAAAGCAAAAAAATATAATTTATAAAATCTTATAATTATAAAATATAAAATTATAATATAATCTTGGGTAACCATGAGTTTGGCCAGCCATAGCAAAGATATAAATGAACGAAGAGCTTTATTATATAGAATACAATTGTGCTCCTACTTTTTTCACAACAGAAAATTTTACAAGTCATAATTATTTTCTGGACCTTTGTCCTTTTTTTCATCTCGTAGAATTTAAGTGAAGTTGAGTTTTTCATTCTCAAAAATGTCTTTTACTATCTCTAGTTTAAATACTTACTATTACTAACATAACAGTATAAATAAAATGTCGATTTTTTCTGCTAGTTTTGTTTGAAGGAGAGATAAAGTAGTACTTGCAAGGTAATTGGACATGTACAGGGTGTCCCACGAAACATGACAGTATGCAGGACGACTTGAATGTCGTCTTGATTTTTGATATAATTTGCTGCGTTTATTTGTCAACCTAATTTTAGAAGTAAATTTCTAGAAATAATAATCACAAAATTTCCCTTGTCCTGCCATTTCCAAAATGTGGTCTGCCTTTTTTGTGCTTTCAATATTGCCCCAGATATGAAGAATTTCGTTCAGATCTCGACAATTTTGCTTTTATTTAACAAAATTGAAATCTGAACCAAACTCTTTATATCTCAGGTAATATTAAAAGCACAAAAAACGCAGACCACTTTTTGGAAATGCCAGGGCTAGGAGAATTATGTGATAATTATTTCAAGAATCATACATGTTAAAGTAGATAGAAGACTAAATGTCACAAATAAATTCAAATACCAAAGACGACTTCCAAGTCGTCTTGCTATTGTCATGTTTCGTGGGACACCCTTAAAGTATCTTTTACATATGACTGATATCCAAGAAGACAAATGTTTTAAATTTACAGTTCAAATTTTACCCCCCCCCCCTTACATTTATTTCTGTATACGCACACTTTAGCAGGGTCCAGGGCAACGATTTCTCTCCTGATGTTGACCTCAAGTTCGTTAAGTTAATGAGACATTGGGGTGAAGAAGCGTATAAAATTGTTATTTTTAGATTGAATGAGCCTAAAATTAGGCTCAATCAATCATGAAAATACGATTACCAACAAGTCTGTAGACCCTTTCTACCCGTTTTTTTAAACACCCTAGCTGTACTTCTTCGGGAAATTTATAAAATCCTTCCACTTATTTTACTTTAAAAAATCCCTTGCTGCGTTAAAGATGTTTTAAAGGGAGCCATTGGTAAAGTTCAATTCCTTAATTTTCAAATAAAAAGTATAAAGGAATTGAGTCTTTGGAACAAAATCAAATATTAAAACCTCAATATCTTCAGAACTCGATGTTGTAAACCTTTGACATTTCAAACTCAGATTATTTGATCCAACAGAATTCATAGTTTGAAATATCTAAGGTCTGCAACATTTGGTTCCAAAGATATAGTGATTAGAAAATTAGAGTTTGTGGCAAAGACTCAATTCCTTTGTTTCTAAATCCATTTGTCGAACTTCATCCTTTAAAATCTAAAAAAGTAATCACAGTTCAACTCTAGCTTTCCTCAAAGCAGGACCTAGGTCTTTGCAGAGGCGCTTTCAACTGTAACTAGGAGTACAGGGAGACAGAGAAAAAAATGGCAAATCCAAGTTAAACGTACACACATAAGAAACTTAAGGTATGAAGGGAAATTGGATGAGGAAAACAAGATAATCAACAAGGAATGTCTGCATTCATCTGTCAACGCTGTATTACCCTGGAGAACAGAGGATTTTTACCTCTCTGGGTCTAGGTTTGCTATGAAAAAGCTCGACTTACACTTCTTAGAAACAGGTCTGGTGAGCCAGTTTTAAAGTAAAACCTACAACCCATGGGAAACATGTTACCCATCAACCACGGATCTTCCTAATGTGTAGAAGCTTTAAGTTCAAGTATAGTTTACAAGTACTACCCAAGATGTTCTTACACATCAGTTTCAAGACTCCAACTGTTGATAATCTACTCCTAGCCAAAACTCCTTTTATCACATTTGTGGAGTTTCTGACATTGGGTCCTTTAGATTTTTTAAAATTCCACGTTTGGTGCGGTGTTTTTTTTTCTTTCCTCACCCTTCAACAGAGCTTGAAAACATTAATTGTGTGACATAGATCTATATTTAGAAAATTCATCAACATTCAACAATCTATAAATACCTGCTTATATAGCAAATTCCAGAAAACTTGCAAGGATTATTATTTCAATATTATTATTGTTCATGGGTTCAGTGTCAGCAGCTGGAATACTGTAATACTATTAAAAAATATTGTACAAATTTGTAATTATCTTTTATAAAAACCTTTTTAAAATAAAAAAAAATTTAAATAAAAAAATAAAAAAGTAATGATAAGAGGGTTGGGGTGTGTGTGTATCAATGTATAAGATATCTGCAGTATATTTACCAAGGAGTCCCTAAGGAGTGCTATAATGTCACCCTGAAATCCCACACTACATTCCTTCTGCATGCAGGTAGCATACAATCCTAGAACCTTCCAGACCTGTTGGCATAGTTCAAGTTTTTATTATTCCATCACAAATACAGGGTTACCCACATAGGATGAGACTTCAGAGACGACTGTACGGAATTTTTAATGTCAGTTGTCTTATATTCATAATTCCCTACAAGTGTAAACGTATTTCTTCTTCCTTTGACTAATCTGCATTAAACCCTATAATTGTTATGTAAAAAGAGCTTCAGGTCGTCTTTACAGTCTCATCCTTTGGGGGTAACCCTGTACATGTGTGCCGGGGAAATTTAGTGTGGCCAACCCGATAATATCTTTTTGAGTCTATAGTTTTAAATGGATTAGGGGAGGCCTATCTAAAATTCCCGGGCACTTGTATTTGTAGGAGACCTTAATTTTGGATCTATCTTGTAGCTCAATTTAATAGGAGTGGGGAAGAGTTAAACATCTTTATTAATAACTATTGCAATTTTTTAGAATGGAAATACGGGACTCGCTTAGCATTAGAGGCAAAAGCCAACTACTTCATCTGAGTGCGGGTTACTATAGACTGCCTTCTTTTCTCCGACTTTTTGCTGGTTTCATTCTATGCTCGGACTGAGCGCATTTCTCCGTCTCTGCGTAGAGTAGACGGACAGTTTTATGAATACTATAACAACACTAAATTATCACTTTTGATTTGAATCATATTTTTAATGTAAGGATCCATCTGTGCAACATGAAGAGTAAAAAATAAATAAATCTCAATAAAGTTAAATCATTTGAATTATTGTTAATACTTGCTTTGAACCATAAAAAATGCTAGTTTTTAAAGAAGGATGGAATAAGGAAGAATGGAAGAAATTCAAAGAGGGAAGAATTAGGATAGTTGGAGAAGGGTAGGGGAAATATTTGATAGGATGAACTAACAAAGGGTAAAGAATAAAGAGAGGATAAACTAAGGAGAAATTAGGATAGGGTGAGGCTGTAAAGGGTAAAAGATATAAGGAGAGGATAAGGATTGGAATCTAATTCTTAATCTAATCTTGACTAAATCTTAACCTTCTCAAATCTACCTTTTTTAAATTATTGATGTGTGATGATCGTGTGAGATGGATTTTGTGTGTGTATTGTGTGCATGTTCGTGAAGATATCAAATAAAGGGTTTAACTCATTTTTATTAGAAGACAATTAAACATCGAAACTGTGTAATACCTTAAGACTAAGTAAAGACGACTTTTTAAATCTCATATTTAACGAATCATGGTGATTCACATGACATGGAATAGATTTATTACGTGCACATAATTTATTTTAGACAGTAGATAAAACAAATAAGAATTAAAGTAAGTCGGTACCTAAAGAAAATTAAGTTTTAATTTTATAATGGTTAAAATATTAATGTTTTCATCCTTAAATCTTGATCCGATTAAATCTGATTATGATCTTATTGATATTAGCACACATTTTCTCTAGTTTGTAGGAGATGTAGAATCTACGTACATCTTGTACACACATGAAACTGCAGTTTATTTATTTAGTCTATTTAAGTTTTTTAAAACATATTGTACAAACCAAGTCCATCAAATTGTTATAATATTTGGGACCTCGCAGTAGTCATGTAGCAGGGCTCTATCTCTTTACAAGTTCAAAATGTTTAGTTTCCGTCGTATGTCGCGTCGTAGTTGGTTAAAAGAAGTTAAAAGTTGGTTAAAACCTGAATGATTGCTTCCATGACAGACAAACTCCAAAAAAAAATCTTGAAAGTTGAAAATCTCGAATGATCGTATAATCGTACTGTAAGCCTGCTCAATATTTCCATCCTAATCCAGTCAATTCATAATCTTTTTTACTTAATCTTTTTTTCAGAACCGTGTCCACTTCCAAATCCAGGCACTTTATACCTCTGGGTATTTAAATACTTTTGATGTACTGGGTTTCCCTTTCCGGCCTAATCTGATTTAGATAAAATATTTCAAATATTTGTACATATTCCATATTTTGGCATAAGCCCAGATATGCATGAAAGGATGAGTGAAGTTTTGAAAATATTTATCTTTATGCATATTTTATCTATTCCATTTAAACAATATACTAGAGACGGATAGTTATTTTTTCCTTGATGGATATTTGTTCAAAAAGCCAATCCAAATTCACAAGGCTCCTTAGTTAATGATGTTTGATGAGTTTGAAATCTGATATGTTGCTGCAAACAAAGTTGTAAAGCAAGATTTTAAAAATTGCAAAGATTTGGACAACATTTGCTCCAAAGAGGTCTTTGTAAAAGATACTAATTTGTTTGCTGAAATGCAGATTACAACTATAAAACCTTCAAGGACTCTTTCAACAATAAAGGCTTACCCTCTTTTGACTTTTTAAGGTTACTCAACTTCTAGAACATGCATAAATGGATAAAGTTTAATTCTGTAGATAAGACATTAGGCTGTGACAAGCATTGTTAACGTTATCCCATGAGAAAGCTAAAAAAATTAAAAGGCTGAGACGTCTAGAAGTTCCTTTAAAAAAATCGCGGAACTTATTGAACATCCCTCGTAATTCTACTTTAATAGATACTTAAAGAATAAAATTAATAATTGTAAAAAATTAAGTATAGTGTTTACAATTTTCGTGCTATATGCTATGCAGTAACATTTTATTTTGATGAAAAAAAAATCAATTAATTATTAATTAAATTACAACTTAGATTTTGGTTTATCTATTTATGCAGATGTATGTACCAAGTTTTTTAATCCTGATTGTATGAGAGATTAAACCTGAATTTAAACTGAAAACGATCAATAAAGTAAAAATCACATCAAAAACATATTTCCCCAAATGATAACACAAAACGGTTGGATATATAAATTTACTAAGCTTTTAGGGCACTTCGCGCCCAATCTTCTATTTCAACTTTTAATTGTGGCTTTAGCTGTGAGCATCTTCCCTTTGTAGAGTATAAAACAAAAATAAAAAAGCTTGCGGATTTCATAATATTTTTTGCGCATTTTTAAAATTTTACAAAGAAAAAAAACTTTTAAAAACAAATTTAGAAAATTTTGATCATTCGTAAACCTTCCCTGGGGTCAAGTGAGGTCCCACACAACGGTTCAGCCGTTTTGACGTTTATTGGACACAAACAAACAGACAGACAAGCTAAAGAAACAGTTTAGAGTTTAAACATAAGAAGTAAAGCCTGTGTATTATTTTATCGGGTTGTGGATAAAAATAAGATGAATATTTTGGATCATTCTCCAACCCCCCAGGGAACCATAATATCAAGGAAATCCCTGCTCAGGGTCCAGTTCTAAGCAGAAGTAGGACAAATTGAGACAATCTTTATCTTATCTGACTAATTTCTTATCCATGAATGAAAAACCTATAATTATTTTTAAACCGTCGGAAATGTCCTTGGAACGCTTCATTCTACACAAAGATTTATTTTGTTGAGAAAACCCTAAAATTAGAATAAGAAAGATGAAAAATTCAAGTGCGGTGTGATTAATTGTATGATAAAAAAATATTTTTAACGGAATATAGATTTTTAACAATTGTTTAAAAATAGATCTACGACGTCAGTATATATATATATATATATATATATATATATATATATATAGCGATATAAAAATAGAAAATTAGAGCTCGAGTTATTAGTTGTTTTTATGTCAGCCTATTTATGTATTTTTTTAAAATAAGCACGTAAAAACAGTTTTTTGGCTACTTTTAAATAACATTTTTTATGAAAAACTTTATATATCTTATCTTAAAAACTTTAGACAAACAAAATAGAAAATGATTTTAAAAATTTCGATTCATGCTGTAAAAGTTCAGAATTGAAAGTGTAAAAACAAAATATTTTTATTATGAATGTATATATAAATACACAATGCCGTAACTTTAGGGGGGGGGGGCCCTGTGTTATCCTCTGTGTGATCCCCTGTGAGACCCTTTGCAAAAACGTTTAGTTACGGGCCTGTAAATGCAATATAAATGCCAGCAATCCTGCAAACTGCAGGTTGTAAATATCCAAAGAATAAAACTATTCAATTGCAAAATTTGAGGTTATTTGTTTATGCTAATCTAAGGTAAAGCAAATAGTAACAATTCAACATATTATTCAATGAATTCAATGTATGTTAATCTCTTTTTGTTTTTCTACTTCTTATCCTTATAAAACATTTCCCTCGAGCAGTCTAGCATGCTTCAAGTTTTCAATGTAAACAATTCAATCCTGAAAATAATGGCCCTGGAAATGTCATTTTCATTTTTTTTAACTGAAAACCCCATAATTGATGATTTTTTGTTAAATCCTATATACCGAACATTAAAAGCTTTAAAGCTTATCTTTTTTTAAGATTTAGCACAAAACTTCACCCCCCTTCCAGAACTAAATTTAAAAGTACACATCGTACTTACTAATGGAACATCTATATATAAATTTGGCTTGTCTGTTTGTTTGTCTGTTTGTTTGTTTGTATCCAATAAACGTCAAAACGGCTGAACCGATCGGGCCCAAATTTTTTGTGGGACATCACGTGACCACAGGGAAGGTTTATGAATGATCTAAATTTCAAATATTTGTCTCTATCAAAATTCGATCTTCATTAAATTTTTTAAAATTTTGAAAATCCACGAAATTTTTTTGTGAAAATCCGCGAATTATTTTTGTTTTGTTTTACGATGTACACAAAGAGAACATTTTCACAATTAATTTAGAAGATGGGCGCGAAGCGCCCTCTAAGGCTAGTATGGTAAAAAAGTAAAGTAAAAAAGTATTAAAAGCCAGAAAATTAGTAACGATTAATATCGAATTAAATTTGACGTCAATCTACATATCTCCTTTCATTTTTCGCGAACACTCCCTTTTAAAATTTTTTTCCCTCGTCTTTCTGTACTCACAGCACTTTAATTCCTCTATTATACTAGATCCCAAACCTTAGTATAGTATGTACTCCATCTACTATCTATGTTTGTATATTCTGGTAGATTTGGTCCAATATTCATTAAGGGCGGGTAATCTTCACGATTAACGTTAATACTATATACTTTAATAATGTACTACGGTGATAGATTTGGAGGATAGGAGGATAGGAGGATAGGAAGATTGGTGCATAGGAAAATAGGAGGATAGGAGGATAAGAGGATAGGAGCACGGAGAATAGGAGGATAGGAGGATAGGAGCATAGAAGGATAGGAGGATAGGAGGATAGGAGGATAGGAGCACGGTGGATAGGAGAAAAGAAGGATAGGAGGATAAGAGAATAGGAGCACGGAGAATAGGAAAATAGGAGGATAGGAGGATAAGAGGATAGGAGCACGGAGAATAGGAAAATAGGAGGATAGGAGCATAGAAGGATAGGAGGATAGGAGGATAGGAGGATAGGAGCACGGTGGATAGGAGAAAAGAAGGATAGGAGGATATGAGAATAGAAGAATAGGATGAAAAATACAACGGTAGATTTATACATTATACAATATACAATATTGTATAAAAAGTATATAAAATGAATGTGCAATGTACATATATGTAGAAGTCGATATCTGAGATTCAATTAACTTATGCTCCACAGGACTGGGCAGAGAGGGAATCTTCATATCGAGATATTTTCCAATAAATCGGCTTCTTCCCAAAAAATGTTTAAAAATGAACACTTCAATCTTCTAACTTAATCAAATTTTTTATCAT